CTTCCCACACTCTTGCAGTACTCTAAACAATGTTTCTAAACTCTAAACGCTCTAAAAGAGGACAGCATGTCATGATTTCAACTCTCTGCCAGCATTCTCGGCCACGCCCACTTCTCCACTCTGCACAGGATCAGCTGATCTCCATGCAGCGATCAGCTGATCAGCTGCAGGAGGAAGCTTCTCCCACTGCTGTGGGCTGTACACAGGTGCTAAATAAGTTTAAAATAATTTATTTTAAATTAAAAATCCATGCCGATCGTGTGGCTCATCCATCAATCAGCCATTGTGTGACATGTCCAATCCTACTTTGAAAAACCGCGATAGAGCAAGACCGCAAAAAGCGAAGTGGCGAGGGACTACTGTAATCATTATTCAGTCATGCTTTGCAGTTGTGTAAGGAAAATTGTTCAAATGCCTAAAGATAATTTATTTTTAAGTAAAATGCTGTCATTATTCACACAATTTGTTGTTCTGTGACAGTCATCTCCTCAATGGCATCTTAATTGTGTTTCTTTTGTGTCAGGTTCTAATGGTCCTCAGCTGTTTACAATCGAGCAGTGGGGAACGCCAGATAAGTTGCCAAGAGCTCACACATGGTATGTCCCCATGAGGCACTGCTCTCCTGTGCCCCTGTTTTCTTGTAATGTTTTGGTCAACCCATCATTAAGCTTTTGTTTTCCAGTTTCAACCGCTTGGATTTGCCCAGCTACGACTCATTCGAGGACCTGAGAGAGAAACTCCTCATGGCTGTAGAGAACGCTCAAGGCTTCGAGGGGGTCGACTAAAACTAACTGAACACAGCAACAAATAAAGCAAACGTTAAAGCCACAGGGACTCAAACCAGCTGCTGTAGCAGTTCTGTTGGAGCATGTTGTACTGTAATGCCTGACTATGAGCCACCTCCATGGCGCAGTGGTTTGAGACTGTACATTGACTTGTCGAGCCAATATGCCTACGTGTTTGTATCTTTTCAATGTGTGTGCATGTGTTGGGTGGTAGGGGGTTAAGTCCTAGAGATGCTGGGGGAAGTAAAGAAGCGTTGTTCTGTTTAAGTGCTGAAATCTCTTATCCACAAGCATGATGGATAAATGACTGGAGCTGGCCCTGATCCAATGTTTCTTCCCCTCTTCCCTGGCCCTGAGAAATCTGCAGTGCTGGAAAATACAGATGCATTTCAACAGCTCCTTTTTTACACTATATCACAGTATTCAGGCATCCTTCAGCTGAGGGGTCTTAGCTCAGCCTTAATCTGGCTCTTACATGCACTATTTCTCTAAGAAACTGCAATGGCACTATGACCACAACTCTTTCAAATCTTTAGCCCAACACCATATAACCTTAGGAATGCTAGCCAATCACATTTCAGGAAATCGAACACAAACGACCCTCAGTATAGCCTTGTATGTGTCATGTGATCAGATATTGCTGCTGCAGCCTTTGTAAATTGAGTTGTTTTTGTTTATTTTTTGTTTTCTTATCCATGAGGGGGAAATTAAAGAATGAGTATAATTTTGTCTTTGAACAGATTTCCTTTTAATAACCATTTCCGTATCTCCAACAAATAAATACTTTTGTGCATTTGTACTGATGAACAATGTTATTTACTATTTCACTGACTGTACATAACGTGTGAAGTTAAAATCTGGTTTAGTCTGGGAACTGACTGTCATTTGTTACAGTGATAGCAAATGTGTTAAACTTTTTTTTATTGTAGTGCTTTGAAAGCAGCATGAAATTGTAACGCGTTTGCTTTGACTGCATACTAATTTGGATGCGTAGTTGGTTTGGAGGACATGAAGGAAAAACCATGGATAGTTTCTTTGATTACATTAATAGTCTCATGCCTGTTGCTGTTGATAATGCTGTAAATTGTTCTTGGAAAACAAAACAAAAAACCCTTTTTAAGTTCTGTCATAAAATATAAAGATATGTACCCATTACATTTAACAGAAGTATTACTGATCAATGCTAAAATGAAGCTGTGTATGAGTGAATGTTGGAGTGAAAAGCTGTGATTACCGCTGAACATAAAACGGCATGTTTCTTACAAAGAAAATACTTTCTTTTTTTTTTTATTATTGATCTTTCTCCAATTTCTAACACTATTAAACCTGAAGGGCACTTTATAGATCACTCTGAGCTTATGTCGCCTGATGTATGTCTTGTCATTTATCAAACGTTCTTTTCTTTCCATTCAGGGCACTTATGTGGTGCAATATGAACAGTCTGTAAATCTGAGCTGCTACTACAGTAGACAAGTGAAGCTGATACTTTATATCTTGTTTTTTTTTTTTTTTCTGTTTTGTTATTTGACTTCTTTATATTTTCCTTCTTGATGTTTCATCCCCACCCCCTGGTAGCTCACCATTCTGACTGACTTTGTACAGCAGATTTTTTTAACAGGTTTTAATTTCAACCAATGAGAAGAAATGATTTGTTAATGATTCCACTACTTTCTGCAACTCTTTGTGGTTCATTTAATTTCAGTCAAATAAAAAAGTAACTTCCTAGACGGTGTGGCATGATTGAACTGAGACTTCCATCTTGTCAGAACATCCATGTATGCATTTCAAAGTACAGACCATATAAATTTTGATTATCAGACTTGAAATGTTTTAAGCTGAAATTGTGGATACAACCATGTGTTAACAGGTTGACAAAGGACCGAGCACACATCCTTGAGGTCCTCTCTAATTGATGGACAGTCATCTATCTGATAGAAAGTCAAAAATCTTTTTACAGTTTGAGGTTTGAATTTTAATCAGCGAAAGTCTCACTGCTTCTAATTGTGTTCAAACCCATGTACCAAAAATTGTGAAAACGATATTTAATTTATCAGACAGGAAAATCTCAAGTTCTACTCCATATACTCGTAAATTATTTAGGTTTAGTATATTGCTTACACTTTAAAGTGTTACGTCGATAAAAGTTAGAAACAAATATTCAGTCCTGAATTTAAGAAAAGTGCACAAACACTAATCAATGTAATACTGTAAGTTGTAAGTAGAACTCCAAAGTTCATGTTCAATAAGTGTTGTAATATTGTAAGTACAACTTTATGTTCTACAAAGTAAAAACAGCAGTTAAAATTTATGACAGAAAATGTAGAGTTAAAATTCATAGTTTTACATGAATTAGGAATCTGATAAAAAGAAACAAACATCATGTATTAATACAGCCAGTCATGCATAAATTAATCAAATGCTGATGTAACAAAAAGAAGTAAGTTGTCCTTTTATCACCACTTTCCTGGAACTTTCCTCGTAACAAAAAAAGAAAAAAAAGTACAGAAATTTAAAGTAAATGGAAACATACACTCAAAATATGGATAAGAGTCTGTCAGTCATTTATTTCTAGTCTAAATCTGAAAAGCTTAAAAACAATTGGTGTACTCAATCATTGATTAGAAACATACAGTGATGACAACACAACACTTTCAAAGATGATTTAAAACAAGATTGATGAGGTTTAAAATGAGTTCAAATTTACTTGCTGCAAACTAAAATTTAAAATATTTGTTAAAAATGTTAATGAAAAGGATTAAAATTGGAGGAGTGGACAAGGATTCAGTCTTGTAAAATAAATTAACATCTTTTTCACTATTCAAGTGTTAGGAGCTTGATTTATTTAAAAATACTTTTTTTTTTAGGTTGTGCTGACAAAGAAAACATGAATTAAAATGCTTACATTGATTTGTTAAATTCTAAGATTATTGTATTGCAGGTACATATCCCACAGTCTTTTGTGCTGCAACAAAAGTATAATTTATCTATTTTATAAGAATCCCAAACTGACATGGTGCCACTTATTTATATATTTATTTATTAAATTCATTAATTCATCCTCATCACTAAAGCTTCCTGACTGTTTTGATTTCTGAGTTTTTTTACTATTTTAATCTTTTTGTGCATGTTTGTGTTTGGATAGTAGCGTCTAAGTCACATGGTCCAGTGTGGTGAAGGGACCTCAGTTCATTCACACATGCAATCTAAGAGTTATCAGCTTCAAGGACGAGCAAATAAAAGCCACCCGGCCTGTCTGAGGACATTTTATCAAGCCCCCCTACACTCCATCTGGTCACAAACAAAATGAGAGCCAGCACTTTAGGACTAAAGAGCTGTAGCTGCTCACCTGCTCAAGAAAAAAAGCAAGGCGTCGGAGATAAAAATGATGATGTTAGAATATGTTCTGTCCTTATTGTACTAGCATTAAGTCTTTGAAAGACTGCAAAGATTATTTTTGAGATGACGTTTGTTCCTGCTTGCATTTTTTTGTTTGTTTTATTACACATAAAAATGCCACTTTGTAACATTTCAAGGAAACATAACGATTATGAACAAACGGTATCTTACCTGTTGTAGACTGTCCTTACGTTGGAGAAATAGAGTTTGACACATCTTGACACAACAAAATTTTCAGGGTGTTCCTGAAAACACTTTGACATAAACCTTTTCATCTCCTTAAAATTGTGCATTACATATTTATTATATTATGATACTCTCAGAGGAGCCCCAGGCTGCACCCAAGTGTTACAGCTAGCTGCAGTTGTGAGCTATGATAGATTTTAATGTAAATATTCAACAACTGTGACATTGCTGGAGGTGTAAAGAGGTAAAATATAGTATTTTATGCAAAATATAGTTCACGCATAGTCCTGCAAAGGTTTGAGTTTGGAGCTGCTTTAAGAACACAGTCCACCTCAGCCCTGCTCCGATTAGCCTTTAACTCGTCATTTCCATCAGAATTAAACTTAATTTCTTCAAATTGAGGTTTTTCCGAATGAGTATCTACCAGTAGATAGATTTTCATAATGTTTGTCTTAAAACTTTGTCAAAATATCTGAATTGACATTTTAAACACATGCGTTGCCTCCTGACCTCTGATTTTCTCTTCTTTCCAACCAAACTGTATAACATCCATGACATCATCTGTGAGCAGCCTTGATCACATTATTTTATCTGTTAGCTAACTTTGAATCCCAATGAAAAATCTAAGTTTTAAGAGCCCAACCATGCAGGCCAGTTTTTTTGGGTTTCCCCCTCCTCCACCCTTCACCTTCTGCCTCTGGTCAGGGTCGATCAATACTTCCCCTGTAGCTTATCACTAATGTGCAACTGGCTGTTTGTCCAAACCCTGCTCTGTCTACATAAAGACTCTGACGGGACGGCTCCCAACCCAAATTCACCACGTCTCACCCCATGAACCCAGCAGCTGCGGACGCACCACTGGACTTAAACTGGCAATTACACGTGGAGGGCAGAGACGAGCTGAAGACTGACTGCCGAGCATGAATGAATGAATCTGGAAAAGCCTTGAAATCTGAGGTGAGTTGGTGTCATCCTGAAACAGCCTTTAATGCTTTCTGAGCTCAGTTTTATGAAGAAATGCTGTTAAATTAGGCAGCGTCGAGGTTTTTTTTTAATGCTTTGATCTGAATAAATGTTAACATTCAGAGTTATGTGACATTTACTCTGAACTGGTTTGATCTGCCTCAAACACACACATACGCGCGCACACACACACACACACACACACACACACAAGTTTAAACAGCTGCAGTTTTCCCTACAATCAGTAACAAAAGCAACACAACTGGACTTTGGACACAGTGGAGAGACCTAAAAGAGCTGCCACTTGTTTATCTGCTTTAAAATTTCACTCTCTTATTCTATTTATTTTCAATTTAAAACATCTTCAACAAAATGCATTTATTTTCCACCTGAAAGCATTGAACACACCACTGTGCACAGGTGATATTGCACCAGACTTCTAGTGTTTCTTAAATACATTAGTTTGTCTATTTTTTTCTTTATTTCTCCAGGTCATTCATCCATCCATCTGTCCATCCATCTGTCCATCCATCCATCCATCCATCCATCCATCCATCCATCCGCCAACCTGTCTGCACATCTGCAGCCAATCTCGTCCTCCAGAGCTGTGGAGTGTGACAATGGTGTTTGTTTCCTGTCTGTCAAACGCCATTATCACACTAAATAGCTACAGTGTGAAAAGGGCCTCGACCTCGTTCCATCACCTCTGGATTTCTGCCTCTGATCAGTTTGTCGTGGATGTTTTTGAAGCTTCTGTGCAATTCTTACTTTCCTGTTCTTTCATACTGTAAACTCGTGCGTTCGTGTTAAAGTTGGTGACAGCTTGAAACACATTACGCCCGCGCAGAGGAGGCAGAAATGAAAATGTTAAAACGTGATGACAATGAATCCCATATGACACATGCATTTTTGTATTTGAGGCATTAATTATATAATGGAGGTTGTTGCAGTAAAAAAAAAAGGCTCTTTTGTTGGCAGCGTCTCCCATGAGGCCGCAGCCTCAGACACCTCCATCTCCCCATGTCTATTTGTTTGTGTTTTACTCGGACAGGCTGTACTGAAATGTAATTTCATTGTGCTTCGGTGCAATGACAATAAATCTGATTCTGATTTTGACACTACTTCCCAGTCATTTAAATGTTTTCAGTGTGTAAACATGCCATCGTGTTAGCCTCCAGTTCTTATTTGTCATGTCATCAATAAACAATGTGTGTTTCTGCTTGTTGCCATCAAATGCTTTGTTACACATCATCATTTTCAAGGATTAAGTAACACAAATGAATGTTTTATTAATGGGATCAAAAACTGGCAGGTGTTTTAGTTATTTTATCACTTTAAAACCATGAATTATCATATTTGTCCCACTACAAGAAAAACAAGTAGGTCAAACTAACTTTATGGAATTATAGCACATGGTCAAGAAAGACGAGTGAGTTAATCATTATTGTACTTGTGTGTATACGTGTTTGCTTGTTTGTTAGCAAAATATCTTATGAACTACAAGAAGGATTTTAATGAAACTCAGAGAGTAATTGTTGGGTGAACATCTACAGCTGAATAACTTTTGGAGTCAACTCATTTCAAGATATCTGCCAAAGCCAAATGGCTCTAGAAAACAAAGGCTGCAACTCAGTTTTACAGATAATGAGCTAAAATTTGGTGGATTTGTAGATGAGAGATTCTGAGCAGTAACATTATGCACAAGACCTTCATTTGAACTTTGGGCTAAATATTAGGAGTCAATTATGTCTGTTAGCAAAATATTTAAAGAATCACTGGATGGATTTTAATGAAACTTTCAGTAAGGAATTATTGGCTGTACATATACAATTAACTAACATTAGGAGTTGACCCAATTCAATATGGCTACCACTGCTAACCAACTTTGTCAAACACAAACATGGCTATAACTAAGTTCTTTTTATAGATTTTGGTCTAAAATTTGTTGTGATAGTAGCTAAGAGTCATCCCCTACACATACGTTAAACACTAACAGGATGTGTTTAAACTTTGGTACAGGTATATATTTTGGCTTTTTTTTTTAAAGAATAAAAATTTTCAAAAAACATTGGTAACCTCTAATTTTCTTGTAATAACTGAAATCTATTTTCTGTTGGCACTTCAGACAAACCTGAGCCTCGTGTCTGCAGTTGGACTCATTTTTAAAGGGCTCCTGTAGGAGGACGTTAAAGAAAGTGTGTTGAAAGAGGTTGACCAAGGGAATATAGAGATCTCATATTAGTGTCGTTATATCTTTCACATCACACACACTGGCCTCCAGAAGCATAAACCAGTGCAGCTGACATCTTTTGAGCATTTTAAAT